TTGATTATTTTGTTGTAATGTTGTACCATTTGTTCGGCTTTAGCTATGGTTTGTTCAGCGATATGTTCGGCAGATGATGTTGGACCTTGAAAGGATAATGATACGAAGATATGGTTTATTTTTGGTAGTTGAACATCTTGAAGTGTATATGATGATGCTTGTGTGTGAAGTTCAAGCCATTTCTTAAATATAGCAATTTCATCGATTATGTTTTGTTGTTCATGTATAGCTTTCCATATAATCTTTGCTGATTTTATCTAGAATTGGAAGGGTTTTCTTTTTGTCAATTGAAAAACATATCAGTGCGCTTACTTCCGTTTGTCTTGGCTTTAGTTCATAAAAGGTTTCAATAAGTCGATGTTCTTCAGCATCGAGTCGAAGCATTGTTTTTCGTCTTTCAAGTTCAAGTCGTAATTGATATTGATCTTTTTCAATTAAATTATGGATCATATTAATAATATTGTCCATACCGATATTGGATGGTGTATTTTTCATATGCTCATCAAGAGCCTGTTGAGCTTTTTCATATTGTAGTTTATGTTTATCAAGACGTTGTTTAATTAAATGTTTGGATCGACCATAAGTATAACACATTGAATTTGCATCAGCCATTTTTTTAGATACTCGACCGTTCCAAATACCTTCGGTCATGCCAAGATTATAATAGTATGACCATTGTTCATGTTGTAATTTAGAATAATTTAATCGATTGAGTAATTGTGTAAGTTGACGAATAAATATGAATATGTCTTTCTGATTCAATACTTCAATAAGATTATCTTGATTTATAATAGTTGATGTTGATGTTAATAATGTTTGTGTAAATTGATTATCCGATAATTTTGAATAATCTGGTAATAAATAGGTTGGATCAGAACTGGTTTCCATATCTGTAGCATAGGATTTGTTTTTGTTGGATAAACCTTCAGATGTTAAGTCATGTTGGATGTATACATTGGTTTCCATATTTGCTACATGAAAACCGAATTTGCTGGAGACCTTTTTCTTTTTTATACGAAGTTGACATCTGTTCTTTTTCTTATGTTGACCCTTGGGAGTTTGTTGACTTTGATTGTATTCGTTTTTCATGGTTTATTAAAACTTTTGTAGTAATCTTCGAATTCAATTGAGTAAAGTTAGATATCTGAAATGAGAAGAAAATCTATTATAGAATTTCGTTTTCAAATACAATACAAGTGTGAAAAGAAAAAAAGAACCAGTGAATATACAATAGAATATATTTACAAAAGTAAGAATGAGAAAACAAAAAGATTTTGATGTCTATACAATATTCTTTAGATATTCGTGCCATCACGATTGATTCCATTTGTTTTTTGTTCTAAGCAAAAAGAACAAGTGATATAGAATCGCAAGAAAACTAATAGGTGATCTCTTACTCTTTGCTAATGGATCTTTCAATAAGGATGACGCTGGTCGTTTACGTGAAAGTTCAAATTCAATGTTTGGATTATTTCGAAAGCCAACAATTAATCTTATTTCTGCCTTATCGGTATTTTTAAAGTGATTATCATGTATCATATGTATTTCACGAGCTAAACCTTTAAGTCTAGCTTCATGTGTAATATGGATAAAGAAGTTCTTTTTAAACTTATCATTATTTCGTTGAATGGTGGCTTCCATATTGTTTATATTTGGTTGTATAACATTTTGTGTACGCTGGGTAAGTTGTACACTAGCTGCACTTATGGCTAGTTGTGTTTGTTTTGCCGTTGGTTCATTTAATAATTTTTGACGTAATGCTAAAAATTGACTTTCATTCGTAATCATAGGTAAAATTGGTGGAGAAGTTGAACTTAAATAATCAGCAAAGAATTTTTCAAATTGTTGATTAATAAAATTCGATGGATATCTACAAAGAATAAAAATGGATGATCTTTTAGTGACATTGTCAATGATATACCTATTATATAAGAACATTAAACGAATGGCACGCCGTTCATGATTAAATATTTCAAATGTTGATGAATATCGTACAGCACGAGTGAGAGCCGTTTGAATAACATTTCGAAAGACATGTCGTGGATGATCGGATAGAAATGAGACGACAGTGGGTTCAGCCGAAGGTTTATGATAGAGTGATGATACCAAAGTACCGTGATTATGTTGTATAAGAACATCCAGAAATGGAACACTTTGACTAATCTTATATTCTAATTTAATATTTGGATGGAAATTATTTGCGGCTTCTAATAATTCTTTGACTTTATCTTCAGATCCATTCCAAGTAAAGAAAATATCATCAATATATCTATAGCGAAAAACAAAATACAGATAAATAAATTTCTATGTATACGAATGAAAATACGTACCGGCCATATAATTCATGAGAAGCTAATTTTGGTAAAATCGTTTGTCGTTCCCATTTCCACATGAAGATATTTGCTAATGTTAAAGTAAAAGCCGAACCCATAGCACCACCAATAATTTGTCGATAAAATTTTTTATTATAAACAAAAGCATTTGCTTGAAGTACTATACGAGCTAATTCAATAATTGTATCAATGGAAAGTCCATTCACTTTTTCACAATTATGTACACGAAGAAATTCAGCAAGTACATTTAAAGATTCTTCTTGTGGTAACATGGTATAAAGATTATTAATATCAAAAGTAATGAAAAGAGTCGATGATGTTAAAAAACCTTTTTGAATATAATGTTGAAGTCGATTAAGAAGATCAGCACCATCCACAAACGTTGTTTGACGTATAAATCGATCAAATAAAGGTCGAATTAGACGATCTAAGAATTGAGAAATTTGTTTGGTTGCAGCATGTATTGTATTCAATATTGGTCGAAGTGGTGTACGTTTCTAGAAAAATAGGAATAAGTATTCAACAATGAACTTCGAATACGATGTCTTAGATGGAATTACCTTATGTGGTTTAGGAATAAAATACATATAAGCTAATTCGGTTTTCTTCCGATTGGGCATCATTTTTACTCGATGTCGTTCCAGTATTCGTTTCAAGGATTGTAATCGATTCAATAAATGTGTTACAGTACAGATGATATCATTGAATGGATTCGACGTTAATAGTTCATAAGCACCCGTTGTTCGTCGATATTCAATTGCTTTTCGTTCATAATCAGCGGCAGAACCAATATGTAATACACCACTTTTATCAGTTTCACGTAGTATCAATTTAAATTTTTTTAATTTTGTTCGAATCGATTGAACCATTTTTAATTCACGTAGAGCACGTATTTGATCGATCAAGGGGGTAGGAGTCATATAAGCTTGATTTAAACAGGATTGAAGTTGATCAGCATAAGATTTATATAACGGTGAGGTGAGTGGTATTTTTGGTCGATCATGATCATTAGACATACATTGCTTAAGTTTTTTCATTGTATCTTTGAGTTCTCGGTCAATACGTTTTTTAAATGTTTTTTCTGGAAAAAATACACTTGGATTTGGGCGTATATAAGAGGGACCTGGAAAAAGAAAACAAGTATATATGCATAGGAACGAATTTAGAAAGAAAAAAATTAACAAATCTGACCTCTTGAAAGATATGCAAGTTGAGCAGCAGTAAATGGATGATAGAAGAGGTCGACAATGACAGTCGGTTTTACCGTGACCATTTTCTGAGTTGATTTGAAGCGTTGCTGAACACGTAATAAATGTTTTCGATAAAGAGGAACTTTTTCATAAGCTATCTCGTCTTTTAATCGATTTGTTCGACGATTCAAGTAATCAAGAAAAGAATTCACGATAGTTGTTGTTGTGCTATAAATACCACCATGACGTGAATTCACTAGTTGAAATTGATATAATTCATCTTCATATTGATGTTTGAATTTTTCTATTTCACTTTCATACGCATCGATATATGTCTTTAACCACATCCGTTTGGCTTCTTGGATAATTTTGAAGTTAGTTTGTTTAAATTCAATGGCTACAGTATCTTTACCGACAGGAAAATAATTATCAAATGTAACAAAGTCCTCTAATTCATCAAAACTTCGTGGTAAAAAGTCAATGGATACTCGAG